ATGTTTCTGGTAGCTTCATGTTTTACGAGAGAGAAGGTAAATGAAGAATTTTTAAGAAAAAGAAAAAAAAAGAAGGAATTCGGCGGCTTTCTTGGAAGGTTGTGTATAACACTCTTGGCAATGGCGGAGGAATGGATTTGGAGCTGTACTTGTACATTAGAGTACGTCAATTTTTTCTCCTGTTTTTAATTGTCGCTTTGCTTGTTAGTTTCCTAGTTTGTACCCACCCTTATGTACTGCTGCATTTCAAAGATCATTTTGCTTTAACCTTGTTGGTGTGGGAGAGAGAGAATATGGTTGTTTGTGTAGATGCTTATGTCAAGTTGTGTTGTGAAGTAGGCTGCGCACATTTGAAGCAGGAAGGAAGCAAACCCCAATCCAGGGCCACATTGTAGAGCCCAAATAAATCTGAGACAAATTTTGTGACGCATACAGAAGCCGCCATTACAAATCTATCCCCAGCTCTAAACTAGCAAAGGAAAGTCTAAGTAGGACGTGGACCCAAAAAAAATAAAATCCAAAGACAATATTCAAGTTTGCAATGGGAACACAGCAACCAAGAAATCATACAATTATTGGAGCATTGGTCATCGTTTCAAAATTCAAAAGCTAAAGTTCACATTACTTAAAGAGATAAAAACACTGTTGTCAAATGTGTTTGTGAAGAGAAGATGAGAGTGTAATAGGTTTCTTGGATTGAAAAAGAGAGTAATATGACAATAGGGTGTAGATGAGTTTGTATTTTTCTAAAACTTAATATGAAGAGTGGTGGGGAGTGTGGTATATAGATGTACTACGGTTAAATATTAAGTTGGATGACCTTTTTTGTCTTCTACATAATAAGAAAACTTAAGAGCTTAATGCTTTAAGTATATGTGTGAACAAAGAAAAGCGTAGGGTTTTAAATAGAAAAACTCGGGCATTCACAATGAATGGATGTCATGGAACCAACACCGAGGCGGCGGCTGCAGCTAGTGAGGGTGGTGATAGTGAAGCCTTTGATGTGCATCAGTTGGGTATTTTAGAGGTTCATAAATTAAGAATCCGTTATTCTCAATAACAACAACAAAATTCCCTACTAGTCATAAATTCCAATTCTAATTTTTCTTTTGGGGTCGAAATTCCGATTCTAAATTCCAATCCTACTTTTGATATTCTATAATTGCATGCAAAGATGGAGACAAGATAATAATGCTTTTTATCTTTTTGGGTTTTGTCATCTAGTAGGGTACTAACGACATTTACCTATTTATGAACTGACCCCAATGTCTGTTGTCTTATTCGAAAGTATTGGCAAATTGCCAATTGGTCCTTTTGTAGTTGAAAACATATTTAAATGACAGGGATTAATTCTTCGTAATTTTAGTGCGGATTCAAGGCCTATGTTGGGCGGCCCATTTAAGCCTATCCATCCATGCTCACTTACCATTCAGCCCTTGTTGTATTTTTTTCATTTTTTATTCGATTTTTTATAGAGATATTTAGTCATATACTCATTCTTAGCACTAATAATATAGATAAATCATATACCATTTGTTAGCACTAAAACTGAACAGATAGAGATGAGTGCAACTTACAAGTGGTGAGGACGATCTAGCAGATCGATTGAGTGTTAGATGGAGATTCTTCCTGTCCTCGAATGTTGATCCTGAATAGAAGATAAGCGAAGCTCGTGAGGTCTATGGAACCGGTGTGGAACCAGCCTAAGACCCTCCGATGCTCAAGTAAGATTGTTTTCTAAGAGCCCTCGCTGTTGACTATATATTAGTATAAAGGTCAAGCTGGAAAGTCTTACCCCTGTATTGTAGTGAAGGGGCCTATTTATAGAGGGCATCTTGTATGCTCTTAGTACTTAATTTCGATGTGGGACTCGTGGGAGGGCCCAATGAGGTTGACACGAGTCTTTAGATATTTCGGGCGGGTGCCTCGAGGTTGATTCTGCAGAATCGGTAGGAGATACCGATTGTAGTCTATGTTGGGCCTTTAGCGACCTTTTGCCCACTTGAGACAATATCATCGGTAGCCGATGCTGATTGTTCGGAGCCTTGGGCACTTGGGTAAGCTTCTAAGATCCACGTGTCGTTGTATGAGCAGAGGGTCAGATATGGTACAAACACCATTTAATTTCTATAAATAAACCCAAAAAATGACAACTGACCATATTGAATTTAATTTTGATTATTAAATTACTTTGATGCCCTATTGAGTGTTTTGGGTTTTTTTTAATGAGGTTTTGGGGTTTGGTTTGTTTTAAGAAATCAATGACAGTTTTGTACTTCAAAAAAAGTTAAAAACTTTTTTGTTATGTTGTAAATGAGCTTTGAGTGTGTTTCTAAAATCCATTTCCTATATGATTTTTTTAAATTTTATAATTTAGGCTCCTATATTGGGTATAATAGTGAATTTCCTTTTTTTTTTTTTACAATTAAATAATTATTAATTCGTACCTAACTACTCTTCAGGCTTATAAACACTCATACGTTAGCAGTTTGTTTTGTCCTTTTCTCCTCCCTATCCAATCCTATCTTATCTTAGGATATTATTATTATTATTAGAACTTTGTTTTCAACATCTGTGACCGCATATAGTCTAATTGTTCGATGCGACACTTTTGCCCCGTTAGTCCATACACGTTATATATGGGAAGAAATTTACCAAAAACCATATTCTTTCCTGCTTAAACCATAATGTGATGGAAAAATTATAAGGTATCATCATCACACGTAGTGTTATTAATATATAAATACACATTTTAAAACATCACGTGATAATATGACCGTAACACATTGAAAAATGACTTGGTGTGGTATTAGCCATGTTGGCTTTCAAAGAAAGCACCTTTGCAACTTTAGTGGCCGCCTTGTGTTGTGTAGCATCTCGGTACAAAAGTCTGGTGTTATACTGTGTGTCTGATCTGATATCCTATTTCATAGCATAATCGTATAAACAAACCCTATTTCTACTGTGGATCCTGCAATCACATTTGTCACAACTTTTCTCATATTAAAACCTCCTCAAAGACAATAAATCTATATATATAAAGCAAAAGACAGAGAATGGTGAAACATTCAAAATACCAGAAAATGCCATTGGTTAATGCAAACATTAAAAATTGAAATTATTAATTAAATGAGGATAATATGGTAAATTCACATTTTTATATTTAAAAAAATCAAAATTAAAAGAAAAATCATATAATGGCCTATTTTTATGGAACACAACAACCCATTATCTTTTTTAATTCTAAAATAAATTTTAATTTTTTTATTATTAAAAAA